TTGTTTGTCTTCCGAGGTTTTTGTTTGTTCCGTCGTTTCTTTGATTTCGGTGATTTTGGCTTTCGGCGACGTACTCGAGGTTGAAGTGGTTTTGGGTGGCAGTGCGGGTGGCTGGTCTTTGTCCTCTGCCTTCTGTGACGGTCTGATATCCGTTGGTTTGTCTATTTCTGTTTTCTTTACTCCGGGGGTGGTGGTGGTCGCTGAGAGGTTAACACGGGAAGGGACTGGTGACCCCTGGGGCGTTTCGGGAGGGGAGGTGTGAGGGGTCTCAGGGGGGGAAGTATGAGGCGTTTCAGGAGGCGACGTCGGCGGTGAATCGGGCGGAGGGCCTGGCGGAGGAGGGGGAGGGCAGTCAGGGGGGAGGTCGGACTCGTCGATGAAAGGGACCGTGCGTGATCCCCGTAGCAGGAGGGCAGTCTGCCTCATGACCGTTGGGGAAAGTTGGGCGGGCACGAGGACTTTCCCGGGGGGCTCTGGGATCTCGTACTGAGAACTCTGCTGGTCCTTCGAGTCTGAGGGCTTCGTCTTGGCATCCTTGACTTCGTTGGCATCCATGTACGGAATGTCGTCCAGAAAGGCCAGCGAGTCTCTTGGAGGCGTCGTTGCTGCATCCTCTTTCTTTTCTTCGGCTGATTGAGTGTCGGAAGGTGGAGGCGCTGGTTTCGAGGACGACGGGGGTGGTGGAGGCGGAGTCTTTGGATGCTGGAGCTGTATCCGCTGTTGCTGGTTCTTGATGGCTTTCGAGATAACTTGTCTCGCTTCTTCCTTTTGAGTTTCTGGTTCTTTGCCGTCTTGCTGTGGTGGAGGACCACTTTGGGGCTCGTTTGCTGTTGACTTGGCCATCTCTGAGGGGCTGCTGTCGTTATTCTTCTCCCCATTTCGGAGTTTGGCAGGAATTGGTGGCTTGGCGTCATCTGCTTCGACATTTTTCGTTTGCTCCCCTTGACTCTGAGTGTCTGGAGGGATGGGAGTGCCCTGGGTAGAGGACCTTCGGGGAGTTGAAGCGCGTTTCGGAGTTGGGGGGCGCTGGGGGGTTGAAGGAGGCTGCGAGGTTGACTGGTCAGTTGATGAAGGTTGGGGAGTGGAGGCTGTTCGTGGAATGGAAGACGAGCGTGGGGTTGGAGGCCGTGGTGGAGCGGAAGGAGGCCGTGAAGAAGTGGGGGGCTGCGGAGTAGATGACGGCTGTTGGGTTGAGGCGGTTGATTCAGCAATTTCAGAACTCGAGGCAGTCACTGATGTGTTCTCTGCTGCCGAAGCGGAAGTTGGATCTGGCGTGGGTGGCGGGCGAGGCGCTTTCCGCTTTGGTCTGGTCTGCACAGAGTCATCCTGTAGCTCAGCCAATGATCCCATACCACTTAGCTTCCCATTTTCGCCCTTTCGTGTAATTTGCAACTTTTCATAATCTTTGTTCTTTTTAATTTCCTCAGAACCTTTAGCGTCTTTCTTCAAAGGTTCGACGTCTTCATAAAACGGATTCTTCCCTATGTATCCAGCTACTACCACGTCCTCCTTGACAAATGGATTCTTTTCCTCTTCCTTAGCTTGTAATTCCTTCACTTTCTCTTTGACAGAATCAATGTCCTCATAGAATGGGTTCAGTGATCGTCTGTATTCTTCCTTTCTCTTTCTTTCTTCCTCACTCATTTCGTTAGGACTTGGCGACGCCTGATCTTGGGTTGTGCTGCTGGCATTTTCGACGCTTCTGTTTTGATAAGGTCTCCAGTCAGGAGGCATGAAGTCTGGAGGCATTGGTGCTCTTCTTTTCTTCCTTCGGGCGCCTGTTGAGCCACCTCTCAGGGAGCCCGGGGTGGAGGCGGACGTCCACTCCATGCTGGGGTAAGTGATGCTCAGATTAGAGTCATCTTCTCCACCAGAACTCACCTTCTTCTTGGGAGGAAGAGGTGGTGGCGGGGTGTGAGCCGGAACACTCGCAGATCTTAGCGCTTGAACCTGAGCGCGAATCACATCGATTTCTTCGTAGATGTGATCCTCGGGGTTGTCACTCCCTGTTGTTGCCTCTCCTGCTGGGGCAGCTGAGTTGTTGCTTTCAGGACGAAGAGGACTGTCTCGAGAGATGGTGCTGGAGCGGAGGGACTGGAGATCCGGCATACTTGTCATCGTACTTAGAGATGATCTGTCTATAGGATTCAGGGGGAGGGCGAGCACCGAACCTGATCGTTTATCCTCCTTCTTCCGCAAAACTTCAGCAGGTAAAGGAGCTTCTTCTGTAGGCATCTCACCAGCCAGTTCGTCCTGTATAGCTTCAGTGCTGTCTCCTTTCACATCCTTAATCTCTTCTCGTAAGGTCACTTCCTCTTCAGAAGAAGAATCCCGACGTGGCTTCTTGGCGGGGCCTTTGGTCTGCTGTACGGATTCCTGAAGAGTCTCCGTTTCTTCATCTGATATGGACGCTCTGCTCTCTGGTCTCTTGTCGAGTGACGCGTTGGACTGAGCCGATAGGAAGCTGTAGGAGCTAGCAGAGGACTGTGGTCTCTGAAGA